ACAACACATGGAAATGCCAAGCGAACATCTGAAGCCCTCAACGCTAAAATCTAAACCCCAACCCTACAAAAAACTCAACCTCGCATAAAGCTACTGGCAAACCAACGGGGACAGGGCCATGGGCTCTTGGGGATATGGCCGGCGGAGCTTGGACGAAGTCGTATGCGACACCTCACAATCATCAAGCACAAATGACAAGATGAAACGCAACAATGGCGCGGTGCCTTCGACGAACCTTGGCGAACAAAGCATGCTACAAAAAGTTCAAAGCATTTACGAATCCCAGCCATCACAATGCTGAGGCAAACCGAGACTACGAAGGCAATTTCCGACAGAGGCTAGACGGAGGGCCAAACCTTGGATGGTTGCTGATTGACTGGGCTTTGTCCAGAGATCGACTTCCATGGTTTGCCTCTGACAAAGGGTTGAACCCTGAAGGCTATATAACTTTACGTGTATATCTTTGTCCTTTCAGGCACTTGCAGGCTCCTCCAGTGCCTTCGCCTCCTCTTCTGCGGCTTTATGGAGAGCCTTTACCTACAGACGATGTGCTGAAACCCACAGCTGTTACAAGGATGGTGTGGGGTGAATCAGGCTGGTAGCTCGGGATATGCAGGGGCCCTCCGTCAGGTCGAAAAACTTAGAAATTCTGCAGCAAGGGGGCTTTCTCCAACTGTGCCGTCACCCTCGCGGCGAGTCTCAGCTCCTGCTCGATCTGCTGCCTCGTGCAGGTGGATGCAAAGAGAAATTACTGCTCAACCCGGCAAGAACCGAGGAGCCTCCTGCCAGAAACGCGTGGTTTACTAATGGTGGGTTCCGCCAATAGCGACCCCTAAGTCTAAGGACGGCCTGTTGCAAGGACTCAGCGTACTCCAGACTTCGTGGACTGTTAATGCGGTACGGTACTCGCAGGGCCTCGTTGCCTGAACACCAGCCCGGACCTGGCATACAAAGTGCAGGGATCGTACAAGGGCTACCTAGGTATACAGTGACCTACGGCTCTAGGCGGGCTGTACAAACTGGTACGAGATTCGGGAGTCCCCCCTTATCTCCCTTGAAGCTAACAATTTAATTGCTTGTTCCATGATGCAAAGCAGGGTTCTGGGGGGAGGGCTACCCATCCGAAGATTTGTAATTATTGGGGATGTGATCTTTTCGAAGCTGCCTGTGCCGTGGTTTGGAAGCACCCAAGGCCTGTGAACGCCAAGTGTTGACACCCACCCAAGTGCACAGCCCACCTTAATCCACATCTCTGTAAAGCCTGCAAGGGACCTTAATTGCAACAACATGCCGCCTACAGTCAGTTTGTAGCTACTAAGCAGGGACTCACAGCTACTATATGCCGCAGCCTCTCGCAGAATAAAGACCACAATGAACGTCCTAGTGGTAGTAGTGGCTGTATAGTACTAAGAACCATGACTATAGCAGCAGTGGTGGCAGCAGCAGCAGCAGCAGTAGCAGCGGCAGCGATGTTCAAAAATCTCCCCAGACCCTAACCCCACCTTCTCCAGACGGCTCCGGAGTTCACATCCGGCTTTCAACTCGGCGGCAAGTTGTTGCCTGATGCTGGGGATGTTCTCAGCCTGTTGTATATGGACTATGTAGGATTTCTTGGGGGTCACAACCATGCATCGAAAAGATGAAGCAACAGGGGTTTCACATGACTGGGCACGCTTTGGGGTTTCCTGTGAAGAGTTCCCATTGCTGGTTGAAGGGGCTTTTCCAGGCTTCTCAAAACAGTCTTTGGGAGTCTGTTTGAAAAGATGTGTTCTTCACATGGCTGGCAGCCTCATTCTAGGTACAACGGTTTGCATTCTTCGAGTAGCTTCCAGAAATTGGGATTATGTGTGAGGACCTTCACGTCAACCGCAACCCTTGTATTCTTGCAGGGTGACATGAGCCTCTTCTCCTGAACTGGTTCGTCCTACAAATCCCCTAAAACCCTCAACAAGGCAGCATCGCCTGACTGTAGCGTTGCGCTCTTTCGCGTCTGCAAGGGCCGCCTCGCAAAAAAGCAAAAGGACAAACAGTCTGCAGTTAAGTTGCCCAAGCTTTGTTGCATATTGACTGGCTTGAATGTTTGAAGGCCCCCCGCGAGCCTCACGATTAATTACCTCAAATTCGGGAATATACCCCAAAGTATACCAGGATCCCAAGTATGCGCTCAACCAACCCTCAAGAGACAAGCCCAAATCCTGAACCTCTGTGGGCAAAGACGCTGCAACCCGAGGCTGCCTCCGTAGATGACAGATCCGTCACCTCCTGGGACGAGCCAAAGCTATCTGCCACTCATCTATACAAATTTTATGGCTCGCTAGGTGGTAAGCTAATTATAGGAATGAATAAGCTGGGCTGTAGACACGCAATATCAGAGCCAAAGTCGTTAATGATGAGAACAACTACTTGTCCAGTTCTTGGGAGAAGTATAAACTTCTGTCATCAATAGGCTTTTGTTGCATGGGCACTTTTATAGGGATCTTTGTAGTTGGCCAGTAGCAATGTGCCCCGGCATATGGGAATACAATATTTCCAGGCCTTGAACGGCTACTTCGGAAGCCAAACTGATTGTAGCGGTACTTAAAATTTGGCCGTGTGCATGTGTGGCCATTGTAACACTCAGCGTGCTATAGAATTATCATATGTCTCCTAAATCTCAAAGCCTGTAATCATCCAACGAATCGAACCCCTGACGCCTCAAGCAGCTCCGCCTTTGATTCGGCCAAGGTCTTGTCAGCCTCCAGGGGTACTTGGAAATGTAAGCCATGCCTAACATCCACACTCGCAAAATGAAGTAGTCCCCAACTACCATTCACTGTGAGTTTCCGTACTTCAGTTGGGCTGGCAACTCTAGCAGATCTTGTCTCTCCAAGAGTACGGAGACCCCGTTTCGGAATCAGTGATGCCTGGTCGGAATCTGGAAGCGTCTCTGGCTGAACCATGGCTCTGTGGGCTTCGGAATCTGTCAGCGTGGCCGTTTCGTGCTGTCATAATTGTGAGCCTGCAGCTGCAGACTGCAGACTGCAAAGCAGCTGTGTTTGCGTAGCTGGGCGATGCTCTCATCCTTGCACATGAGGGGCTGCTGCCATGGCACTTTCTGCCTAACGCAATCTGGAAGCTTCCAAAAATGCGGCGGGTTGTCGATTGGGGGTGCTCAATATTAGCAATCCACATTTTCCGTTCATTGTTGGAACCGCACGATACCTGACCAACGCTTGCCCTTCCCATGGATCGACCACACTGCAACAGCTTGACAGCATGGCACCCGTAACATCTGACGCCCCATGGGGGCTGAAGGGGCAACTGTAGAGGCAACCTGCAAGGAGAGTACATGAGGAGCCCTTCTGCTCAGAGGAATTTCAGAAGCGCAATGCCTACGCATCTGGGACTTCCTGCCCCTCCCAGATCACACGCAAAAACCAAATGCCTGCGTAAGTTTCCACGTTTTTCTCGGACGTCGTGCCCCTCCAAGATCACACGCTACTAATTAATTCGAGCGCTCAGGAAAGAAGGGCGACCTGTGCGAATGGCGCCAATGCCTGAGCAGCAGCTGGGTGACATCTAGACACAAGCAGCAGCTGAAGTCCATCCCCCTGTAGGTGGCGAACGCAAAATGCCTGAAGTCTGCTGCGTACTGTGTACTTACATGCATATGAACCCGGAGGAGCACATTGTAAGCTTCTGTAGCCGCAGTAGAAGTGTCACAGAGAGTCTGTGGGTCACCACTTCTTAAAATTTTAAGGCTATATCAAGCTGAACTTGCTGTAGCCAAGTCATCAGCACAGCGTTTGCGCTGAGGATTGAGTTTAATCTCCAAACGGAAATTTGATGTAATCCTCTGCGTTTAGTGTTCACACAATTGAAAAAATTCTCAATATCATAGATTCTCTCTTTGGGGGTTCGATAAGATTCCACGGGCTACATTATTTGGACCCGACTTGAAGGTTTCCTCACTATCATAGCTCACTTACGATTGTCTGGTTACAAACCACGAGTTAGCCATGAGCACATATGGAGCTCATAATCGGGTCCAGAACCAAGGTATAATTACCCAATAAACTTGCACTTACCTTTGAGAGATATCCAATCTAACGCAAGGCCGGCCTGACGCGGACTTTGGCCTGAAGGGCTCAGGCTCAGGCTCTTATTGCTGTTCCTGTATCTGGGTTGCTGTTAAGGCACCTAAATTCAGTTACCGTAATGGGTATATATACACATATATATAGTAATTAGTATGGTTTCCCCAATGTGGTAACTCAAGCTAAGTTCCTTAACAGCAAACCAGGTATTGGGTGCAGAGTTGAGGGTTCTGGCCCAGGGCCCAGTTTTCCCTCTGCAGGGGCGGGGATTCCCGAGCGTTGCCAAGGAGTGGTTTCTCACAAGTCCTAATCGTAGGTCTGAACATGGCAAAGGTAAACATGCTACTTGCAGTCAAATGTACATTGAATCGCGGCGGGTAAATTTAATCAACCCAAGTTCCAAGTGGTGCTGCGGTTGTTGGTCAGGCGCTGATAAGAAAGACATGAGTGTCCAAGCAAACTCCAAGCAGTTCCTCGTTGCGGGCTTCTGCAATTCTATAGACTGGCGGGAAAATTAAGCGTTGCAAAATTCCCTCCGTGTAATCTTGAGAAACTCCCCTTCTCAACGTGCAGCAGGAAACATCGAGAATGCAGTCTTTGTTCTCTCCGAGCGTTCACTTGGCGAACGCCGCTATTCAGGCAAAGACGCCAGTCACGTGACCGGCACCGGCTCGTTAACAAGCTTGTCTTCGGATCTACTGAATCTGCGGCGCCCTTGGGGGCCAGCAGCAGCAAGATGCATCCAGCATCATCTTCAATCAGCATTTTGGAGGGTAATGATGCCAGCGAGAAAAAAACAACCAAGCAGCCAGTAGCAAGGGAACTGTTCATGGAAACATACTCACAAAGCATAGTTACAGTACTAGACGTGCACGTATCACTCGCTGGGAGAATTGAGAGTCCTCAAAGCCCGCCTGTCAATCGTCAGGCCGTGGAGTTCCTCAGGAATCCTAAGCCCTGACACTGAACCATAAAACCGACACCACACTTGAACCTTAAAACCTGGCCTCTGCTAACGACGGCCACTTGAACCCTACCCCAAGGCGCCTTAGCTTAACCTCAAAACTTTCTGAACTGGGCCAAGACGCCCGATAAGGTGGCAGAGGTCGCAGGTCTCAGCGCAGTATGCGAGCGCCTTGTTATTGTTCAACCCGGCAGAGAAGATTGCGGTTTAGGGTAAAGGTCTTGGGGTTTGGGGCTGAATTTGGGCTTTATGCAGGTTGTCAAACATGATGGCCTTCTGTAAGAGGTGCTTCTTCTGAAGCCCAACAAGCGATGCGTAAGGGCTGTTTCTCAAACCTTTATGCGACATGAGGTTGCTCAAAAGTCAACATTAAAACCCGAGGCCCCAAACCCTAACGCCCAACCCTTAGCCTTCTATCATCCAACCCTCCCTCAGCAAGCCACACGGTACTTCGCTGACGTAGCCCCCTTTACTCTATCTGAGGCCCTGAATAATGGGGTCCACATCCGATGGTCCCTGAGACCAAAAACTCATGAAACACCACCTCAAGGCAGGAAACCTGGTGGATTCTAATGTGGTAGTTGTCTCGATTCCGGCGGTGCCCCTGTTTACAGCATTCCAATGCAGCATCCATGTCTTGTGAACCTGTTGCCCTTCCAAAGAAGGAACCCCCGAGCCGGCAGCTCTAACCCTACACTTACACTGTAAATCCGAAGCTCTAGGCACGACGCGCCTAATCCTAAACTCAAAACCCTGCATCCGAAACTTTAAGCCTTATCCCCACGCCCTCAACCCTGTCCCTGAACCAGAAACAACCTCAACCCTCGACTCCAAACACCGCCAACTTGCAGCCCAACATCCAAGCTCGTAACCTCAGACCGCAGCTTGATAAATTAACCCCTTAGCCCTAAGTCCAGGGCCTGCTGCGGGATTTGCACGCAGAGCCCGGCGGCCTTCGCCTGATCACAGTTGGTGATGCCTCAGTTATCAGTGGGACTAGCCAAACACACAAGAGCTTGCAGTGTTGGCTGGTGGATTTAGGGCTTGGCATTGTGTAGAGTTGAACGGGAAGGATTGGAGGTTTATGGTTTCGGGCTTGGGCCTTGGGGTTGACATTTTCGGTCTAGGGAATGCGAGTTCATGAACCTGGCAAACGGCTTTGCGCTGTGGGGTACGTATCCGGGTATGTGGACCAGACTACAGGGCTTTCATTTTTCCTTGTCCTTGGAGGGAGGATGTCCACATGAGCAGACTGACATGTGCGGGTACTCCGACTTTGCATACACTCCCCTTAGAAAAAAGGCTGTAGTGGGTCTCGGGCATGTTAGGGGTTCTGAACCCTACACACCAATCCTTAAACTCCCAAACCCCTAAATCAACAGTGCTCCAGATGCTCCCTATGACGGGGAAGCTGTCAGCATCTTTGCAGCCTCAGCTCAGACAAAGGCATACGGGCATTCGCCTAAAGTACTGACTTGCCAGGAGGCTTACATAGAAACCTGCATGGCAAATTTAGATCCACATTTTTAAGCTAGCCGTGTACTACTTTTCCGCCGAAGCGGCAACCTATACACTATACACAGAGCAGCCTGAAAACAGGAACCTAGATGTCAGGGTGGGTCTTCTATGGTTTGGAGGATGTGTTCTTAGACACGCCAAGGCCCTGGAGGAAACGCGCTGTCTTCTACTTTGACGGACTGGGGGCCCGTTGTATACCCTGAACAAGTGCAGTATAATGCAGTCCTTGCTAGGAGGACCTCCCCAATACAGTACTTGCCTAGCACTCCTCATACCCGCAACCTGAGAAAATTCTCCATATAGGGGTACCGTTAGGATAGCTGAGGATTCCAGAATATCATGGGATCCCCTTTGGGCAATCTGATCAATTTTGAGCTTGTATAACAGTTTGCGTCATGCTGCCGGCAATCTCCCAAACTAAGGGAAGAGAGATGGCCCCCTACATGCCTTCCCCCAGAAAACGCAGCAATCCATAACCTCTGAATCCTAAAGCCTGAGCCCTCCAAGCCTCACACTGTCCAGAAGTACCCCATGTTCAGCCCCAGCAACCTCTGCAACTCTGCGGGCAGAACTCCGGCAAAGGGTCCCTTCCGACACATCCGCAGGCCTCCTAAGTTCGTGGGAAATAACGGGTGTTTCTCAAAAACATTCCCTGAGTACTTGCTGAGGGGAACCCCTACGCTCCCCATATTGCCTAGGGCGGTCCTGCGGATAGCCTAGCTCGAGAAACTCCCATACTAAACACTCTAGACATTCCAAAATGGGTGTATTCTTATATATACATACATACATATATAGACACTAATATAAATATATATGTGCTATCAGGAAATGTGTGCGAATAGGGGGATTGAGTGGCTGATCTTGGGGGAGGTGATGTAGGATGTGTACATAGTTCATAGGCACTCGGTAGAGTTCCTGCAAGGAATATGTGGGTGCTCCCATGCTGACAATGCAAGGTCATGCAGTAATCGCAGAAGGTTTGCATAGAGACCAAACGGGGCACGGTGCGCTCAAGGTTTGCTAGAATCAAATGGAACCCTGGAATAATCTCACTGCCGTTGATTGAAGTCTCCAGTGTCTCGGGGCTTCAGCGATTCCAAGGCCTGAGGGTTTATGGGATCATAAGCTTAGTCCTGCTGTAGGGCTTGGCGTCTCAAACCTCAAGTCCTAAGCCTAAACCCCAAATCCCAAATTTCGAAAGCCTTTTTCCCCCGAGTCATAAGATCACCCTAACCAGGGATCTGGGCAGAGCCAGGCCAAGGGCCGGTACAGCGGAGAATAGCCTTCACACCACCTCACGCCTCTGGGGCATTCGGCTGGGTTTAGGTTTAAGGCAGGAGGGCGGGGTCTGGGGCATTCGTCTACTGTAGGGGTCTAAATCGCAAAGAAACCCTTTCACCTATTTGTCTTTCACTTCACCTATTTGTAAACTAACCTCCCTAATCCTTAAATATCCTTAAATATTCCGTGGGCTTTATGATGGTACTTTAGTGATGATACTGTAAGATCAATTATGTCAGGAGCTGGTCAAGTTTATCATGAGCGGACTGGGACTATCAATGTAGGGTTAAACACACCTGGTTCAAGATGCAGGCCCTACGCAAGTACCAAGTTGGGATGAAATGGAATATGCACAGAGAAAGTGAAATGACAACTCGATGAACAAGCAGTTGCAGAGAGGCTTTACAAAGACTGCGTGCGGGGGCCTAAACACACAACACAGGGTTTGAAAGTCTATTTTGCACTGACTTCATACAACAGCTATTAAAGGAAACCACGCCAAGTATTCGGGCTTCTACGCTAGACAGCAAAACCTCGCTGGGTACAGTGTGGCAATAAAGCCTTGTGTTCCCAGTAGCAGCTATTTGATGTTTAGATTGGTTGAGCGTGTAAGAACTTGTCCAGACAGAGAGCCACGAAGTCTGCATGGGAATTAACAGAAGTATCCGGGGCACACATCGGTATCTCCATGGAGCACATGTGGAATTCGGAAGGCAGGGACTTGCAGGGAAAACATCAAGCTTCAAGCTGCCAGTGCACGTTTTGCGCATGGCTGTCCAACAAGTGTTGTGGAGCCCTCAATGGCAATGGTAAGGCACTATAACCGGTGTGGATCCGAACAAGGTGTTAGGAACGAGCAACAACACTGACAATTTGAAGTGAAATGCTTCCGCCGGGAGCCCTTGACTGAGACGGAGTGGGAACAGTCTGACAAACTCGACAGCGTCGTGGCAATTGCACGCATTGTGCCATAAGAACTTCCCTGTAAGCTGTTTTCATCCCTAGGCACCAACTTGATACCCTGTAATCATGCGTAATTTCCACATTGCCCCTTTACCCCCTCCAGAAAACCCTTACACACTTTGCATAGTCCCTGCTCAAAGGCTAGCTCCGCCCGCTTCAGCCGGCCTGAGAATGGATCCTGGGGGAACTCCACTCCACCGATAAATGGGCACCCCACTTCCTTCACCTCTCCAGGGACGCGTGACATATGCCCAAATGCATGCTTGTTGCAAAAACTGCGCTGCTGCTACTACGACTACCATATTCAGACAACTGCTATGAGGATTACTCCTGCTTCGTACGACCAGCAAGGAGGGGAGCAGTCTCCTTATCTATCATTGCTCCACCTCCTCCTCGCCGCAGCAGTAGTAGTAGCAGCAGTAGTAGCAGCATCAGCAACAACAACTACTACAACTACAGCTGGCTATTCGCTGATACGACAACATTATCTTGATGAGGACCTGCCGGACGGCGTTCGGGAGCCAGGAGTAGCTCGAGGCGTTGATATCTTGGATGTTGAGAGCGTACAACATGACTTGCACGTACCGGTCCTCATGAGCACTGCTTGAAGGCAGGGGATTGTTTGCGAATCTTGGCTAAAAAAAGCATCTGGGCAACACTTAATCCTAGCACTTGACTAATTTGGGACCCCCCCAGAATAAGGAATTGAGGGCGCCAGATTAAAAGAATGATTAGGGCTGCTGGAACTCAATGCAAAAAGACTAGGAATGTATTCCTGCGTCATCGGGGCTCTTGAACCTCTATTCATTAAAAAAATGAATGGGCATGTGTTCAATATCTCTATTATCAGGATAGGTTCCCCCAAAAAATCTTCAAATCTAGTCCCCTTTACTTTCCCCATACGAAAAGCCACCTGATTGTAGCTAGTCTTTGGAGCCTAATTCTACCCAATTTTTAGATATGGTCCCTTTTATTGTTCTAGTGCTCGGATTAGGGCCTTTTAGGGGATAGCTAACGTATTTCGAGAGACGAAAGGGTTGTCAAATCAAAGGGAGAACGCCCATGTGTACTTTTCAACTGAAGGGACTCCTTAAAAAATGATGGGCACCATTTTTGCCTGCGATGCAGGGTGGATTGTGTTCGTTTTAGGGTGCGTCGCGGAAGCCTGAAACTTCAACACACGTCTCAAAGGCTAAGCCGTAATCCAAAATGTTGGCATGGCTCCCAGAAGAAGTCCCACGTCGCCTTCATCTGCGGAAGTGCCTACGTCTCACAGTACAGGCGTTAAGTCAGGGCAGGCTTAGGGTTCAGGATTTAAGGTTTAGGGCGGGTTGCCGAAGTTATATCGGTTTGGGATTTGGGGTGGGTGGCAGCAGTGTGCTTGGTGCTATCTATATATAAGGTAAATCTATACGCAACTCAGTCGCCTGAAACTTGCACGAGCATTCCAAAGCCAAAGCCTTTACTACATCCTGCCTCAACCCTGAACCCGCACTTCTCAAAACCATAATCCCTGGCAACCCAGGTTCCCCCCGCCCAGCATTGCGGGACCCAGGTGCTACGTCTTGGCACGGCATTGACCTCATTGCAGTGTGCGCCTCGTTGATGCCTCATGTCTTTAAGGTTCCAGGTACGGAGGTTCTCCTGTAATGAGGACCGAGTATCATGTTAGCTGGGAATATGTAAACGGGACCCCAACATTTGGACGCCAACGCTGGCCCTTGATTTTGCATCCTTACGTGCCGGTACATATTCTAGAAACAACAGTCTCCCGTATGTGAACAAAGCATTGCAATCCTTGTTACAGGACCTCCAACCAAAGGTCCTGCTCTTTGAAGCCAATATTGTCCGGAAATCCGTCTTAATCAGAACTTTCATCATCTCAGCTATCAGGGATCGTGCCGAGCTACTGGAACCTAAAAGCGCACCACTACGGCAAGAACCTGCATGCCACCACCTACAGCATACCCTCCCTAGGCCAACATGGCACCTAACAAGCGGCCAAGTATAGAGCACGGCACCTTGAAGAGCGGCAAGGCTCCATGCTTGCTTACGCAAAGGCTAGCATTTAAGACTTGGAGTCCTCGAGCCCTTGACATGAACCAATCCTAAACCCTAAACCCGCCGCCCTAATCGTCAGCCCAAAAGAGTTTTTTGAATGTAAGCCCTAAACTATATCCTAAGCTAGAATGGTACTTACGTCCCAAAAGACTCGTAGCCTAAAAGTCGTCAAGCCTCTAAGCCAAGTGTCAACCTTGAGGACAGCCCTCGTAGTTCACTCGAAGCAAAGGCTGGGCTCTTGGATCGTTGCAGCCGCACGTTCCTCAGCGTATTTGAACTTTGGGCGTTGAATGTTTGGGAGGCATTTATCGATGTAGTATTGATCTCATCACATCTTAGCTTGCTTACTTGCATGCTGTGGCTCTCATCTTGCCATCACAATTCCATCTTTGCGGGATTTCGTTTAGCTCTTGTATTTTTTCTCGTAGGGGGGCGACACGCTAGGGTGTAAGGCGTTGCATTAATTAAGAGGCTCCTTGGCATCCGCCTGGTGTTCACTCCCGCAACCGGGCAGGCTGAAACGATGGTGGCCACACTCGTCTCCATTTCCCTAGAAGTGCCTTAATGACTGAATCATGAACCCGTAGCCTCCAACTCAAAAACGTACCGTAATAGTCAACCTCGTACCTATATATATATATATATATGTACATGGTGGTAGCTGTTTGCGGGTATCAGCTTTGGATCAGGCCTTCGCTGAAGATTATTGAGCAGAGTTCAGTGATCAAGCAGAGGCTTGCTTTGAGAACCCGCCCCTCTGCAAACCGCAGCAAGGTCTCGTGGGCAAGCGTAACGCAGCAGTCGTCCTGAAAAGCTGTCGCAGAAGTGCGCCATGTCAGAACAGCTCGCGTCCGGCGTGTCCTACTTGGAGGTTGGAGGGAGTTTATAGCCCAGTTCTCGTTGTAGTTCTAAACCAGTTGTAACCATATTAGGGAGCTTAGCTGGCAGTTGTGTTCTGCGTGCAGTTATAGGTAGGCTATGATTACCCTGAACCTCCACGTGATGCCGAGGATGCTACTGTACCGAATCCAAACGGATTGCACAGACAGTGGACGTAGTTCGACTTGGGAAACAAACACACGTAAAGGTAGAAACGGCTTCGCCCAATCCACAAGGGTGATAAACGACTTCGCAGGAGGACATAGGAATCGTGAAGCCTTGAAGTGTGGACTACGGCAAATCCAATTTGAGCTGTGCAATCGCAGAAAGTCCCTTGATCACCACACTCCAACTCCGTAAACACGATTTGCAATACTCCTTATATCCTCAATTTCACGAAAGTCTGCACTGCACCCTGGGCCCTACGCCCTCAATCTCTAAATGCTTGATTGATGCGTAAGCCCGAGGGAACCGGATATCGTCAATCCCCAAAGGCTCTCATGATCCTTGACATCTGCAAGGAGCCTCGTATCCTAAATCCCAAAGTAGCGCAAAGATCCCAAAAAGCTTGAGTGAATAACCCCTATACCCCAAATCTCTAGATGTTCTACCCAACCCTATGTCCTTAATCCGTTTACCCCTGTGGAAGGTCCTGAAAGCCCAAGGTCAAGCTGGTAGAGTAGAAGAATGGCCTGTACATGTCTTGGCGGTCATGGGTCTCGTTCCCAACAAAGACCTCAACTGTTCCTGGAAACCTGGCAGAACTTACAACTCAAGCTGTGCTTCTAAAGACAAAGAAAAATGAGAATATCACAAGACATGTTCAGGTGGGGCCCAGAGACTGTGTCCCAATCGATGCAAAAGCCCTCCCTCCCTGCTCTGGCTTCCATAGTGTCCGCCAGGAAGCTGTCAAAGTGCGCATTGTCTCTTGTGAAGGCGATGTATTTCGAGTCCGAGCCTTCTGGCTGCTGAACCCAATGTTCAACAGCGAACTGTGCCGAAGTGGCCGAATCTTCGTGACTTTCGAAAGGCCGCGTCTGCAGTCCCACGGTGATGTTCTGGTTGGTGTTTGAAGCCACAACAAAGTCTTGCCTGCCCCCGCAGTATGCCCACTTCACCTGGAGATACAGGCAGCAAGGTCTTGGTTTGGGAGGCATACAAGCATCAAAGACAAAACGCAAAAGACGCTGAAGAGCTTGCTATCTATGCCTGCATCATGTTTTCAGTCAATGGCCCGACCACACTCAGGTATGGCCAGAGGGTGAGTCCTGCGGACCAGCAGTTGCAAAGTGGGCTGTTCAGTATTCCCCTGCAGGCTTGCTTGGGATTGTAGGCCTTGTTGCGCCCCCACAAGGGTGAAACCCTGGTGTTCCTATACCCCTGAAACCCCGATGACCTGGCGGAAGTTTCTCAAAGCAAACCCTTAATTAAAGATCCCCAAGAGGGACCCCGCATATCTCAATGGGGCGGGGCCGCCATTGAGGAAATCCCTGGTGAGTCCAGCCATGAAGGCAAAGAGAAGCAAGGACTCCAGTTGACTCCGGCGGTGGGTATAGCGGACCTCCACTTGAGGGAGCATAGCTTGGGCATGAGGAACGGACCGCAACCCCGCGAAAGCTCACTAATGATTCTTGAAATGCATTTCCTCATTTCCTACTAGCACTGCGCATGACCAAACATCCTTCTGCTCTGCGCAGCAACGGTAACAAGTAGTCTGATACTTGTCATATCGCAATACAAATGCCTATGAACTGCAGTATAACACCGCATGCTGGAAAAGACAGGAATGTGCTGTGAAGAATTATGAACAATGGTACATGTGGGGAGACGACTGGAGATAATATTATAATAGAAGCCAGGATGACAGGACTCAAAGCAATAACGCGTATAACGATTACAGTGGTCTGCGACAATCGAGATCCCTCTTAGGTTTTTTCTCGTATTGATCTGTCTAGAACCCTGAATCAGCATTAGCGCGACCAGACCACGAGAGTTTCTTTGCCCCAGGGTCGCTAACGGCCCAGCAATTCTGCCAAAAAGCCACCCACCCGTTCAAAACATGGAGCTTGGGAGGATGTTGAATTCTACAGAGATGGGATTATGGATGATAGTTTTGTTCGCATGCCTGGCCTTGATGGCCTCCAGATCTAGTATGCTCGTCTGGACTTGCTTCGGCATGAGCGCAGCGTAGAAAATCTCATCCACCTCAAGGACTCAAGGTCTCCGGGTTTAGGTTGGGGAAGGGGCCTTGTGTTGAGGCGCTCAGGACTAATGAGTTAAGCTGGGCCAGCCCCCAAAAGCCCGACATCTAATGGTGTCCATGCTAGTCTCGTCATCCACCCTGAACCAATGAACCATTGATGGCCCGGCAAACATGACTGACTTGCGAGACAAGAGAACTCCGTGCCAGGCCATCCTTAGGCACGCACGAGAACAGGCAAAAGACATCCCTTAGGAGGAAGTTGTGGCTAGGGAGAAGACAAGAAGGCAGTAACGACAATAACCAGGAAGAAAGGATTTGTACCGTGAAGCTGCTACAGCGAACAGTCAGGGCAAATAAGCATATGACCGGTCTGCCCTGACCTGGAGCACTGCGGACAGTGCGACGGCGTTGAGAATGAGATCTGTGATGGAGGTGGTGGCGCCCAGCCTGGCAACGCGACTGCGCAATGCATTTTTTTCACGAGGATGTCCGCAGACTTTCTTTAGAGCCCTGCTTTCCGTCATCCCGCATAGGGCTCTGCTACTTGCTGGGGTGCATACACGAGCATCTTGACTTTGGCAGACAGCCATATGATGCTTATGTAATCACTTGCATCCCGAAGTTTGAAACTCAATAATGATGCTTCAAGATCTGCTTCAAGATCACTCTAACTCAATCCTGCGCAAAATTGTTGTCTGCAAAATAGATCGTCCATATTCCTACACGGTTCGCTATGGGCCTCTCCTGTACAGACCTGAGACCCTAAGCCCAAACCATAGACCATATCCAATGCCTGTCAAGGAGCCACAGGACTCCAGCATAAAGCAGCCCCAGCGCGATGCAAATTCGATAGCAGCGGAGCAGGAAATACACCAGAAACCTCAGCAGACTATGAAATCTCAACTGAGAGTTGTTCAAAGAAGGTGGCCCTTGGGGACCCCTTGGGACCCCTATGAGCAGATAAATTCGGGCTTCTATAAGGATGATAGGGGTCCTCTCATCCCAACATTCTCCAGTGATTGTCCCCGAAACCCCTCGGCCTAAGCGCTAAACCCGCATGAAGACATCCAGGAGCCGACTCCACGAGATGCTCATAAAGTTGCCGCGCTGCACCTGGGTTCGATTGGATCTCGGCACCTCCAGGGCCCCCCTAGAAAAGGGTGTAGGATAATGGGGATAGAACGGGATATACTTACGTAAAGTATGGCATGAAAGGTTTAGCTTCGGGCTTCTGGTGGTTCGTAAAACCGAATCGGCTATGGCAGTCCCTCACCGATTCCATCCTTTCCTGCTAGCCCCAAGTCTTGGGGCGTCTTCATAAATAAAGGAGTACATGAGGAATTCTTTAAAAACTAGGTTGCACGAAACCTTCAGCAAAAACTATGAAGACTTTTCGCGCCTGAGCCACAGCCTCCAGCGAAAGCAATGATGACCGCAGTTCGTTGCCTCGACGTGACCAGGCAAGGAAGTGAGGGATAAGTGATCAGCAACAGTATAGTAGTACTAGTGGCAGTAGAGCTGCCAAAGCAGCAGCTGCTGCTGCTGCTGCTGACACAGTGACAGCCGGCACCACCACCACTGCCACCACCACCAACAGCAACACCACCACCACGAGACGACCAGTACCATGATGTCGACGTTACTTCTCTTCCGGATTCTCCTCGTATTACAACTGCCCACACCTCCTCTTACGAGCAACGACAACGACTTCTACGATTCTTGCTGCGCCCTTCTCTCAAAGATCTTTGAGCAGGCAAGTTGCAGATGTAGAGACACCACAGGAAAATGCAGAGCATGCAGAGCAGGGTGCCGGGCTGAAAATACGGTAGCTCGAAGCTACCCTGTCGGAGATCCAGGAAGTCCTGAGGGCGTGGTAGCCACACGCCCTTTACTTGGTGGTCAAACAAACTCATCGTGTCTGGATATCAGACGCAGAGAGACAAACTACTGCGACTATTCGTATCAACAAACCACTATGCTAATCCTCCTCCACCTTGAAACCATACTGTTAGACGTCAAAGTTGCATTAATCTGCTCAAGCAGTGAAGCATGCTCTGTCGACAGGATCAACTTGCCATCGCCATTACAGACCCGGGAAGTGAGGCTGGTCTGCTCCAGATCCATGTACCTCAGCTTGCCTTTGAACAGAAACCGCCAACCTTACTTATGGCAACCAAAGCACCTTTGAACCAAGCTTTGCCCCTTAATGCGAACTTTTCTTGTTTTCAAAGCCCTAAGTTCAAGACCCTGACAGCGAATGGAATGCCTTGCGTGGGTGCTTGAATCTGCAACACAAAGAACTGCCCAAGAGGACCATTTTGGGAACTCAGGACTGGGGCTGCCCAACACACACTCGGCTGCCGGTCATTGATTGTCCCGCCAAACCCTCGTGGTTCTTGGACTGAAGAAAGCTGATTAACTAGGCATCCACTATTTGCTGCCAATACGGGATCTATGTCACGTGGACAAACCCCAAGCAAGAGAAGTAGGGTGTCCAGCAAGAGGGCATGATGACTCTTGACCTGGACAGGATACGCAACACATCTAGTAGCATACTGACATACACGCTGCAGTTACAAACCTAAAACAGCACCCATGCATCCAGAGATCCCAGAAACAAACCCCAGACGCTTGAGACCAACAATCCAAGAGACTTGTAGTCATGAGCCACACTGCGCCGCCAGTTCTGGGCAATCTGGATCTGTTCTGAGAACGGCTGGCCCAGGAAGTCCTGGGCAATCTGGGATCATTATCACAACTATGGCCACCTTCCTTTGAGAAGCTCCATTTTCTAGCTTTTGTTATTTGGGAGATGCATAGAAATGTCCATCTGACTCCGGAAGGACTACTCATGCATAGAAATGATGATGGCTCTGAGGCGTCGTCCTCTGTCAGCAAGATGATGCCTGTCAGCACAGGCAAGTGCTTTCGGTCAACCTACTTATACACTTTGCACGACATGAATGCTGCCCAAACGCAGAATGTCATCTGCATGGCCATGCTGGCAAAAAGGAGGATGGCTGCAATGAGAATATCGATCCAGCCACTGCCCTTGGCTCACCAAACATGTCAAGTGGCAACACCCACAGAGTGGAGCATAAGAGGCCTGAAATTACATTCTTTTGCTTGGCAGACATTTGGAAGCCTTGCAGGGCCCTGCTACCCTGGACGAAAAGTGCAAGGCCCCAACCCTTCAAATTCCTTGGAATGCAATTGCCAGTCGCAGCGTACAAGTGGCCTCCTTCCTCCATGGCCCGTCAGGTTTCTACGTCAATTCACAAGTGGCGCAAGAGGCTTCCCAAGAACCAAGCAATAGCAAGGTGATAATCATACTTGCCAAGTAGGGCAGGTGCATATGGGGGACTACCAGTTTCAAATCATATGAAATTATCCTGCACGTTGCATTCAGAAACTTATCACTCATGGCAGCTAAACTTTGATGGGTACAAGTCTCTGTGTACCCAAGCACCAACACGAGGTTTAGCGTGGTCTCCATGAAAGCAACGGGCTCCTGCAAGCCAACGCTTCTAATTCCACTTTGAACTACCTTTCCTATTCGAGTCCTGATACCTTCCCTATGCGAGTCCTGATTTAGAAGCCCTATCTTTGGTGCTCAAGCGATGCTTATAGAACTGCTCGCAGATTACTCCTGTATAATTACTCCCCATCAAATCCATGCGCCAAGAAGAGGAACTGCCATTTCCTGGTCTTGATCATGCCCCAAACGCCTGCAGTGCTACAGACCGCACACAAGATCGAGGGCGTATACCTGCTTCCAGCAATCGCACCGTCCTGCGTTGTGTCAGGAAGGGTGCCATCCTCTAACTCCACATGGAACCTCATTCAAGCACTCAAAAGTGGCGGGGGAGCGCTTGAGGTTTAGCTACATATGTAGTGCAAGAGTATATAGGGATCCTACAGGAATCGGAACAGATGCTGGAAAGTCAAGGCTGTACAGCTTATGCGCGGTGCGCATGGATTCCCGGTCTACAGAATGTTGGAGTGAGGGGGATCCAAGAGTTGTCGCATCCCCTGTCCAGATGGCAACGAGCAGCTTGTGGGGTTGTGTAGCAACATGCAATCTCATCATGTCATAGCGGACTACTTACTACTCATTGCAAGGGCTAGCCGTAGTGTACCAGTCGCGATGATACCGGGGGCAAGAATGGGGAATTTCAAGTCACCCGTTTCATAGAGTGCTTGCAACGCTCTCCCGAACAGGGTGCCCCAAACTGCACAGACTACTGGCTGCCGGATAGGAGGACCGACCGGTCACCATAGGGAAGCTTGGGTGCAGCACAGACATGCGCTCACCAACGCACTCACAGAAATCCAACCATGCCAAACTCCACTGAGATCCTGTTTCGAACCTACTATGAACCCAGATCGCTGACCACTTTGAATTCAAGGGGCTTTGGTGCAACTTCCAGCTTTGCAGGCGTCTCTGCCGCAGTTGGAGGAGTCTCCTGGGCTGCCAGGGTCAGGGGTCAAGATCTCCAATGGGATCTCTACGAACCAGTCACTTCCCATCCCCGAAACGGGACTACTGATGTGCGGCATAGCAACTTTGTCAACCGTGCACCGAATCATCATGAAAAGGTCTTGACTATGCAAGTGTCGTCCCCACATCCAGACGTGATATTATCCTTGTAACAAACCCTTCCAAGACGCGATGCTAGGGCATCAGGCAAAGAGGTTCCATCCCAATATGATGTCATGTGAACTCTAGGAGTGCAAGAACGAGATGGTGTCCTCTGGATCGGCAACTACACACCTCCATGTGTGGCCCCTCTTCCTCTCCCTCCCTCCCTCTCCCTTTCTCTCTCTCTCTCTCTCTTTTGGCTTTGGCATGAGGGGATGATGCTGTAGCATCCGGCACTAGGCCTCCCCTTAGGTACGGTCGGTTCGGGTAGAGATTGTAAATTGTAACAAATGGGGTTCTTTCCAGTTGGGAGTCCCAGTGTCGTTAATGAGGACGGTACTCCCATGAGAAACCGAATACAACAAAAATAAGTGTTGACTCCCACTGGTTCCCTTTTGGGTGGCTTCACCCTATGTTACATCAGTCGGTGGATGCAAGGTTACTGATTTACCCAGCAAAAGCAACACCACAGTCATAACTCCCGTAACACATTAGTTTCCCTAGTGACTAGATTACGTTTCTCATGCTTCTGGTTCCTCAAAATGAGCACATGATACGCACTCTGAACATCGATATAATACAGGCTGTAACGCTCCGCAGACTTGGGTGCTTCAATTATTGGAATTTATGTGTACAGTTCCAACTCAGTAGTTCTCTTCGCAACATTTCACTAGGTCTCGTCACGTTCTGGTTCTCGTGGTAATTCACAATTCGCTACATTTCCTTCCTTCGTTTCTATGTCCATTTCTGTTTCAAGGGGACTACTCCCCTTCCGGAGCACCGCCCCGCGCCCTGACGTCAAACCTGGGCCTGCTTTATGATCTCCGAACCCATAAAAACGAAAGGTAGCTGGCCCAAGTTTGAGGTCACTTCCTTCTACAGGGATGTGAGACTGTACTTCCCGTCATGCGCGCTGTTCCCCACATTGGCTCATCTCCGTGCAAGGTCCTCATAGCAACACCACCATCTGCCCCCGTCGTCAAGTCAACCCTTGCCAAGACAGCAGCGCGCATCAAAACTTCCAGGCGACTACTGCCTTCCTGGTATTATGCAAAGGCTAAGCTGCCCTCTCTCCATGGCAAGACAAGCCAAGAACCCAAACACAAGATACCCTACAGCAGACTTGTAACAGCACAGCAACAAGAGGTAGTCGTAAGGAGCCCCCGAACATGTACGATGTCAACAACTCCTTGAACTCCTTGTTAGCCTCGTTCCACGATGGGTCTTTGCTATACAGGTCGCAGTAAATTCGTTGCCCAAAATGAGTGCCACAGGTCTCGTCACAAGTTGTACTCCGCCCCCACGCAACCTTAATAAACACCCCTTCTCCAGACGGACCGGGCCTCACAGGCTCAAGGCTTGTAGGTCTCCCACACGTTATCACTGATGCAGGTAAATCCTCCCTGTACATCTTGAACGACCAACGTGATGTCACTGACGCAGGCATGGGCACACTATGCGTTGCTTCCCTCTCAGTTGTTCTCCAAAAGTTGACCGCAGGAGCCCACAGTTCTCGTCTGTCTGCCCGGGTCAGGTAGTGGATCGCTCATCTGAAGTTGCATAGTACACTCACGTTTTCTTGCTCGCGTCATGCAGTTGTAATAAGGTCACAGTCCCCTGCAGCGAATTGGATTGCGCTATTGCTGTTTGGTCACGGTCGCGTGCATTGAATTTTCCTCCATCCAAGATACGATGATCCCATCAGCTATATGGCCCCCGGTTGCACCGCGGCAGTGCTTCGACTGCCTTCCTCAGACTCAGATTCAAAAGAGGCACTTGCCTTTCATTTCTTTTGATATTGCTGTTTGGTCACGGTCAGGCAATAGATCCCCCATTTGGTCACGGCTTCATGCACCGAATTTCGATTTTGCTGTTCCTGTCTGGTCACAGTCACTTGCATCAAATTTTCATCTAAGATCTGGTGTTCCCATCGTCACTGCGGCTCCCAATTGCACCTTTGCAGTGCTTCGACTGCTTTCCCTAGACCCAACAAAGGCACTTGCCTGTGGTCTCTTGTGATGTTGCTATTTGGTCACGACATCTTGCATCGAATTTGGCATCAATCATTGCTGATCATCCATTGGCCTGCCATTGGTGCCAATTTTTGCTGGCTCGAATTCGGTCTCCTCCTCATATCTTGACATCGATAAATTCGCTCCTTTTCTTTCCCACTCCAGCATGCTAAGCAGGCCTCGTCTTCACCGGCCATGGCTGTTCGGTCTTTCCCTTCTATTTCTCCGGACTTTCCAAGAAAAAACTAGGCACGCCACTCCCCTTGACTAGCTGAAGCAACCCCCCTGTAGGTACATCCACAGAAGACTCCCTTAAGGCTGACGAAATTCAAGTTCCCTTTTGGCAGTTTTCTCTGTTCTTCCCGCCGGGGGCTTACGTAAACAGGCTACTCGAGCCACAGTGACTGTTCCCCACTCCACGTCGCTTGCTCCCTTAACTTTCTCCACCGGTCGGGGGCTGCTCGTTTGACTCAAGCCCCCTGCCCTCCTCAGGCGCAAGTCCACCTCGGACAAGAGCAGGGACACCCGCCCCCGTCTGAGGCCTTGACCGAGAACACTGCCTGAAAGGAGTGCGGCAGGAGACTTGAGCCAAAATGGCTCGCTCTCTCTTTCTCTTCTTCTTCTTCTTCTACTGGCCATGCCCACCCCTCACGAGGCAGGCTGGGGCTACGCCCCATGACCGCGCATAGGTCTCAGTCGCCCAAGGTCACCCCCACAAGGTCCGGAAGCCGCTTTTTCTGCTCCAAATTGACTAGCCTAGGGAAAGCCTACCGTTTAACACACGTAAGGGGCAGTCTCTCTCTCTCTCTCTCTCCCTCTCTTTTTCTATATATGCACATACATATACGACTACATTATTAATATTATGCATTTACCTACGTATGTACGCGTCTAGTGTACTGACATGCAATGCAGCGTGCTGCAATGCAATTGTTTTGGTGCGCGTGGTAATGTAGCTTAAAGTAATGCCATGTATGCATGCATGCAAATATGCCAGCATGCAGGTATCATGAAATATTAGTTATTAGCACCGGACAAACGAGCTACGATCAAAGAACGCCACAATGACAAAGTCGACAGTAGAAGCCAGACACTTGGAACATCAGGATTTCCCCTACACAAATACTTGGGAAGAGGCAGAAGCTGAGTATATCATCCTATTCACATCTCAAGTAAATCATCCTATTCACATCTCACAACCTTCTTGGTTTTGTGTTCTCCAGATTCTACCTTTAACCTTAAGTCCTAAAGCCCTTGTTGTAGGCCCCTGGGGCCCGAACCATTGACAAGTCCAGCTTGACCTGCTCAGCTGATGCGTCGAGGAACGGATCTAGGGTTTAGCTGGTTCCTGTTCAGCACTTATAATTCAGAGTCCACTTTAGGGGAGTGTAGGGTTTTTGGTTTTCGGGCTCAGAGATGGGGGCTAAGGGGCTTGGAGATTGAAGTTTCGGGAGGGCTTGGAGCCTGGAGGGCTTCAAGGCTCAGAGTTTCAGGCCTTACAGATAAGGCAAGAAATTTGCGAAGCAGCTTGGGTGCACGGCTAAATTGAAGAGTTGAAGGATTTTGGCCGGAAGGGTTGGGTGGCCAGGGGTTATGTAAATGCAATACGGGGCAGTCTGAGAATTCGAGCTGGACTTACCATTCAGCTTCTACTTGCAAAAAATTAGTTGTTGGCTTGGGGCTTCTAGAATACGAGATGTTGGGTATGAAGCCATATGGTCGAAGTTTGCCAAAAGGTCATCTGTGCTCTGTCTGCATAAGGTCTCAAAAGCTTCCTATACCATCTGAATATCATCATTGAATCCCCTTGAGGTCACCATATTTCCCTGTGATAGTCCGCAAAACTCACCAACACCCCCACGGAACAATGCGCACCCTCCCATACAACAACCAATGTCCTACCTCACATTGGGAAGATGGAATGTTTCCGGGAATGACCAGCATATACCGATAAGTGCATGATGGGTGTTAGGCGCTGTGTGTTATGGCAGGCAGCTACAGTGTTTGCATTCGATCTGGTTCTGAGGCCGGGAATTTCGCGCGCATCTTCTTGAGGATAATTGGGGAAATTACCACAAACTCTTATAATTTCTCCCGCGTAAACCGTAGGTGCAGCACCGGGATACACATTGAAGGAACCCCCCAGATATCACTTCCATTACGTACCTCTACGCTCATCTCCATCTGCACAGGCAACCCCACAGCGCGACAGCAAGAGCGGCCTCGACGATGTCAGAAACGTCCTCAGCCTTCCGGTCCTGTAGCTTCGGATTTTTAGGGTCCAGGGTTCGGGTCTTAAGGGTTGGCGGATGCTGAGGGGTCTAAGGCCTACCCGCCAGAGCTGTCGACAGTAGACTTGGACTTGGGCAGCTTCCCAGCCAACTACCGAAGATACCTCAAAGAATACCTTAGCCCAATCTGGCGCGGCCTGTACCTTATGGGGACCTAGGCACGTGGGGGCCTTTGCAGAGAGCAGTGCAGCTTCTCAAGGCTTACCAGCCAAGGTTTGTAGTGGGAATGCAAGTAGTGTAAAGTCAGGGTTTAGCTTAGGCTAGGTTTTAGAGACATACAAATATCATTTGTTGACGGGCGGCTCGTTGGTGCAGGCATGCCAACGATTGTCCC